GGGGTGGGTGTGGAGAGCAGCAAAAAAAAAATAACCCCAGCCGGCTTTGTACCTTCCCCCCATCCTCTTCCTCTCACGCACCACACGGGCGCTCTCACGCACACGCTTCCCCACACTCCCTCGTGCCAATTATTTAAACTTCGCTCAGGCAAAGGCAGCACCTCGCTCACTGCCGCCACCATCCCCTGCGCCCTCCCCGCCCTGCCAACATCCTCCCCCTGGCCCACCTCTACCCCGGGTGCTCTGTTTCCTGGTAGAAAGCCAGCTGGTTTCTCCTAAACCCTGGGAAATCGCGGAAGTTCAAAGGAAGCATGTGTCTTCTCCTAGCATCTCATCCCCAACCATCTTCCTCCCGGCGTCAGTTTAACAATAGCTCCTCGGGAAAGGGCGGGGGTGAGTGGTTCAGGCAGGAGATGGGAGCTAGCTACCTACCTAGCTGCGCTGGCTCCCGGGGTGGCTGCGAAGCCTGGCGGCTCGAAGGGGTTCCCCCCTCGCCCCAAAGGCAAAGTCAACCGCGTAGGACCAAGGACAGGGCTTGCAATCCGCGTCCCCGCGCCCACCACCGCGAGGCTCCCCAGCAGCCGCCACTCCAACAGACACAGCTCCAAGGATCTTATTTACTCTTTTCTGAACAAAGGGAATCTCAGATCCGGCACAGGCTTAAGGATTCGGCCCCCAATTAGCTACCTTCTTCTACGACCGAACCACGGTCGTGGGCGCCCATGCGTGCGAGCCCGCACACCTAAGGCAATGACGAGTTTTGACAGCTCCTACCCGCCCCAGCCCCAGCCCTAAGGCGGCAGGTACTTTCTCCGTCAACTACAACTACAACTGCCTGGTGCGGCATCTACATTCCATCCGGTGATCCCATCTCCCCGGCACACGCTGTCTGGCTAATGCAATTAAGTCTGGGGTTTTCGCTGGTCTAATCATCTGCAAGTCCAGGCTCCTAAGGATCCTTAACGGCACTTGAGCCTCTCCCGTCCTCCGGTTGCTTTGCGAAAGTAGAGGCATGCGTCCCCCATCACCCAAGTGATCCCTGTCTTCCCACGAAATGAACTTCCAATCAATCCCCAGGCTCACTCCGCATCTCGACTTCCATTGTAAACCCCCCCCCCCACCTCCTCCCTGCGCGACCCCGGCCACATTTACCACCGAAATTCCTGCCCCTGGCATTTGCAAATACTCAGTACGTCAAGCATGCGTCCCCCTTCTCCGGAGTCCAGCTCTCCAGAATTACAAAGCAGAGCACTCGCTTCGAAATGAGACAAACATGTGCCATTAACTTCATATTCCGCTCACTTACAGGTTTTCTGGGTTTGCCAGCGCATCGCTGCAACTAATGATTAAAGAAACCGAACCGAAACTTACCTTTCTCCCTTAAGGTTTTTGTGTGTGTGTGTGTTTTAAGTAACGGTGCAGTTCTCCCAATAAGGATGAGCAAGAAGCTGCTGGGCAGTTCTCTTAAGACAGCACGAGACCTAAACTGTGCTCGGCTTAAAAGAAGCAAATCAAAAGAAATGCTTTCGACCCCCAAAGTCCAACGCTAAAAGAAATGGCGAAGAAGAAAGAAAGAAAGAAAAAAAATGTATGAAAGGGGAGGGGAAACTTAAAAAGAGAGTTTAAAAAGACGGAGAGGCTAGCCTCCTATTGCCGCTCAACTAAACAAAAAAAAGGGGCAAGAAAAACAAACGGAGGAACAAAGAAAAGAGACGAAAGAACGTTTTGGTTTTTTTTCTCAAAAAAAGACGATGTCTTTCTCCTGGCTGCTTTTTTAGTAGGTCGCTACAGGAGTGAGCTGCTGCATCTCTAACTGAGAACAGCGATCGCGGGGGAGGACGCCTGAAGAGGGAGGTGGACTGGACCCAGGATTTATAGCACCGTATCACCAACCCCTGCTCTGCCTCCGCACTGCCGGCTGTGCAGCTGCTCGGCCAGGCTCCTATCCCGGGCGGCACGCGCGGAAGTATACGCCGACTCGCGCCACAACGTAACTTGCTCATCTCCCCGGGGCTCTGATTGGTCCAGACGCTCCCACGGAGGCGGCCCCGGAGAAGCCCCGGAAGGGGATTGGTTCGGAGCTGGTGCCACTCTCCAGAGCTCAATGGAGTCCCGTTTCAAGGTAAGTTGTGCGGGGCGGTACACACTTCACACTGGCGGCGAAGGGAAATGCAAGAAGCAAAAAAAGAGAGACATGGAGAGAGAGCAGTGTGGGAGTGTTGGAACTGTACTGTCAGAGTTTGCGATGTGGCACGATCTCCTTTCCTCCTCAATCTTTCTGCTTCCGAAAGACTCGTTTCCTTTGCCTCATCCTATGGCACGTTTTCTGTATAGCATTAAACTCTGTCCGGTATGTATGAGTCATTGAGAGCTCCCTCTCTTTGATCTGAGTGAAAGGGATGAAGGTGCATCCATTCCTTGCCCGCATGCTTTTTTTTCCCTTCTATTTGTGTTCCAGTATTCTGTATTAGATATTAGTTAATTTTATGTCTTTCTCTATTTTAAGATATGCATAGTACAGCTCTCGTGTTTAGTATATATTTTAAAGCATCCTTTTAGGATAAGGATGGAGTCAGAAATGCTTTTAAATAAAGCTGCACGACTTGGATTAGCTTTCGCTTCCTATTAGAATAGAAAAGTGTAGGATAAGCATCCAGGGCAGGAAAAGAGGTACTGAGCTAAGGTCCTTCGCTTTGAAGTGTATGATGACTCTCAAAAAGAGCAGCTGTATATAAAATTAGAACAAGGCGTGCCTCTTCATTTGTTGGCGATACACTTCTTGGACCACACATGTATTGCTGACAGTAAAGATATCTGGGTTCTTCCCTCTGAGGATTAAAAAGTTTAACCAGGAGACCAAGTGCTTTCAACGCTTCTGCTTTATAGATGAAGACTACTTTGTTAGACCCCATATTTTAATAATATTGGGGAAGCCGAAAGACAGTTTTTTCCATGGCATTTATTTCTTCCTCCAAGTGAAACTGTGGTCCTCAGGACCCACTTGATGTATATAAGTAAAGACGCTACCCACTTGGACTGGGTTCTTTTCCAGCTTGAATTTCTCCTTTCAATCTTGAAAGATAGCTCCAACTTCCTAGAAAGAACTTACATTACTTATGCAATGTAACATATCATCTCTAGGAGCTCAAGCCTTTCTAAAAGGGATTTCTTTACCTGTTCATTTACTACTAGGCACTATCTTTGAAAAATGCCGGAAAGAGGAGTCACAGGTAAGAGAGATTGCAGGAGGGTGGAATGGGATGGAGGGAAGAGGGACAGATAGCCACAAAGCAAAATGACTAGAAGGGAGGGGTGAAGTAATCAGCGTTTCTTGAGAGTGTCCTTGAGTATTGATAAATGATTAATGGTAAAGAACAGAAGACCTGTTTCTCTCCCAAGGAGGCTGTATAGTATGTCTGAGTTGTATTACTTTGCATGATAATAACTGGAGGTTGAAAAACAAGGCCTGAATCTGTGTTTTCTTATAATTAGCATTTATTATCAGGCTTTAATCCCTGCCCCCACTTTTTATGTAACATCTGGCTTGTGTTCCTAATTTCAACTGAAAACTATTCTATAGACCTGGGTAAAACTCATGAGAAGAAGAAAAGCAGTTTAAAGAAATGGAGTCAGTGGGCTGAGGGAAGCACAAATGAAGGGAAAGGAAAAGCTTCACCTTGTCTAGAATAATAACTGTGTGAATACACAGTTGGAAGATTGGGTTTGTTGTCATCCTCTTTCAACTCATCCCCTCACTCCAGCTCAATACAGAGAAATACAATTTGGGTAAACAAATAGTACTGTTCAGTCAGACTTGTCTATGAAGTGACTTGCCTTTTCTCCTTGTTAACATGCTCTTAAATTCATATTGGAAAAAAAATGTTGTATTAGTTGCATGTGTTCATGCAATATTCTTAGCACTTTGAAGAAAATATTTACCACTAACTTACAATTACATGACTGTGTTCTAACTGGGTGGAAATTAATACTTAGTTTTAATTTTTAATGCATGTTTGTATCCACAAGAAAGATCTTGTAAACTGCAGTATATTTCCAAAAGGATTGGGGGAGGTGGATATGAAAAGCTGGGTGTGGTGTGGGGTGATGAAAATCTAGTATGCATGTTATGTAGTTAATTAAATTACATGGAAAGTAGTAAACTTGCCCATTCAAATGCACAAAACAAAATGCATAAAAACAAAAGTTTTTAAATGCAAAATGCCAAATTCTGTGGCTTGGTTGTCTATGCTTTTATCACTTTGGGCAGAAGAGCAAATATTTCTCAAAATGTCATTTTCAGTGTGTTATTTTTTTTCTCTGCAGAAAAAATAGTTAATTATTTAAGACACTGAAAATATCTTAAAATACTAGTTTACATCCTCAAAAAAACCAAAAAATTTTAAGTTTAGAAACTTTTAAATGGATAGATATACCATAAGTAACGTGGGGTTTTTTTCAATTTTTTAACAATAAAAACTGAGCATAGCCACTTTAATACAAATGCTCTCTGGGTGTAGATTTACCTTTTGAATTCATGTTGTCATAGCCTGAAATATTAACATTCTATTTTGCAGTTAATAAAAACGATGTGTACACATCACACCCCACATTAAACCACTGTAATCAAACCCTCTTAGTTCATACTTTGCATTAGAAAAGCACTTAAAAGACATTTCAGTTTTGATTGTCATGTTAACTCTGATATCTTTTCAAAGTCCTTGGGATAATTTTAAACTGTAGCAGAGAAGGGCAAGAACTAGAGAGCCACTGAGAGCTTGGAGAAAAAGTTTGCTGTGGAGAAAGTTGCCAAAAGAATGGTTCTCAAAGCTGAAAATGTATAAATTCGGTTATTTTACAAAGTTTCTTTATAAAGAAAAAATAAACTACAGATATACTCATAAAGTATTGTGGGTAATGTCTTTTAAGATAAATAATCTCCTTATATTAGTGTGTGTAGGGGGGGGCAGTGATTTTAGCATCTTATGATAAAGGGCACTGTAAACCACTATTGTAACTTTTTAAAATAAAGTAAAACAGAGAAGCTATTTATATGAGTTTACAATGTTTGGCTTAGGGCAATAATTCCAAACATTATGCCCTCTCAGCTTAATAAAAATACTGAGTGTTACTCTGTTGGGCTGTTTGTTGGGGTCTGTGGCTCATGATGTTGGACATGTGGCAGTTTTATGCCTGTGTGAGAAATATAGCTATTATATAGCTTGATGATTACGCTTTTATTTATTATTCTTAAAGAAGTATTCCAAGTTTCCTTCCACAGTTTAGATAACAGAAAAAAAAAGTTATGGAGAAAATTGACAGCAATGTGAGTTTAAATAGAACGTGGCAGCCGGGCCAGAGAATGAAGCAGGAATTAGCACCATGGACAGAGACTAGCAGATCCTGAACAGAGGATGGCAAAGTCTGATAGTGTTTTCGGCCCCTCCCTGGAGACGCGGAAACTGGAATTCTTGGGAAGGATTCATTCCACAGACTTTAAGGACAAAGCTGTCCTACTCAGCGGACCCACGTTTGTTTTGACTTGGGCTGGCTTTTGCTAGGACCCGGCCATCGTGACAAACCGCCAGGAGGGTAAGAGCCGGGAACTCGCTGCACACCCTCCACGGTCCCCTGGCCATACACCCCCTTGCCCCGCTGAGCCTGCCGGTCATCACAGTGGTCAGGCAAAATAAACGCAAATCCAGGTAGTCAGCCAAAAGTCTGCTGAAGTCCTCGAAATTCCCAGCGAGCATCGCAACAAAAAACGCCTACTCTCGCACCCTTGCTCCCCTCCCCCCACTCTTCTCCCGGCTCCCGCCGCCTCCCGGCCGAGGGGCCAAGCCTTTTATCCGAAGGTGAGTGACCTCCCGGACTATTTTGTGAAAGACCCTTTCTTTTGCAAACACTTTCCATTAGGGACAGTGCCAGGGGCGGCCAGGAGCAGGATCACACACAGACTTTACTTTCTCTTTACATTTTCTCTTTAAACTCCTGTTGGAGAGAAAAGACTCCAAAGAGCAGACGCAGAGAGAATTCCCCCTACATCCGGAGGTTACTGTTTACACGTAAAGACACGTGAATTGTTTATTTAAATGTTTTTAAAAATGCAAACTAGTGACGCGGTAAATCTTTGCCACCAGAGTATCTTGTCCCCCCACCCCCTACCCCCACACACTTTTTTGGGGGGTAACATGTGTCTGAGGTTCATTCTCCTGCAGGTGATTCGCCTGCAGAGACTCAGACTAAGATCTGTTGCACGTGCCCCAGGGTGTCTCAGAAAATACATTCTCAGCTTCGGATCGACGATCATTTATGTACAAAAGCTCCTTAAAAAAAAAAAGTCCTCATATTTCTTTTCCTCCCCTCTTTTCCTCCGCAGTAACTTTTAGCCGGATAAACTCGCGTCTTCCCAGAGCTTCAAAGGGCGGTGCAGGCGACCAGGTGAGGCCAGAAAAGCTGGAGGTGAGAAAGGACAAATCAGGGCTTTGTGTCCGTTCCTTTCGGGGATGCTCACAGCCTTCCCCGAGCCTCCTCCTGGAGCCCATACCTCTCATGTAAAATTAATATACGTAATTAAAAAGAGCCGTTTCCAAAGTTAGAGGAAACCATCTGTCTCCGCTGGTGGCAGTCATTTCGCTGCCCCTTTCCCCGGACCTAGGAAGGAACGGTTTTTCTGCTTCCGATGCTCCGAGGCTCTGACTTATATTGAAGATTTATGTTTCCACTTGTGTGCGATGCACGTCTAATTTGAAATAATAAAGCCGGGCTGAGCAACCAGTCCATCAGAGCTATCAACGGCGCTCGCCAGGCAGCCCTGCCCCCACCCCGCTCCGCTCTCTAACCTTTCCCTCCTCCCCCCCTCTTCTCTCCTCCCTCCCCGGCTCTCACACACTCACACTTACCCCCTCCCCCCACGTGTGTTTAGATCAAACCCTTGCCCCACAGAGCAAGTGTCCGCACGGGGGCACGGGGACAAAGGCGGAGTCTGGATCAGGAGAAGACTGAGGCCCGGGGAGACACCGCGGCGAGAGAAACAGCTGTCTTATCAGCCCGCTGCAGAGATGGAGATGGCTGGAGAGGTCCTCAACAGATAATCACTTGAATAGGTTTGCAATGCGCCAAACTTCACGCTTGATAAGGCCAACCCAATGTAGAGAGCAGCCCGGATCCTGCTCCATTCTGTTTTATCTGGGCTGTAAATTAAGAAATTGAAATTCAGGTGGCAGAGGCAGCAGTCTGTTCACAGACCGCTAAAGTAAACTGTCATTAAAATGCTTTTGGCAGGCAGAGAGGGGGCACCTGGAATGGGATACTTATTTTTTTTTAAATGGGGGCGTGGAGCAGTGAGAGAAAAAGCCCACCGGTTTTAAAAATTACTTGGGGAGGGGAAGCTGTAAGGAGGAGGAGCAAAGGGACATATCATTTTGGTCATGATTCCAAGTCATAGCTGTGATGCGTAAAAAAAAATTGAAAAGGATAAAGTTGTGTGAAGTTTGGGGTAATAGAGATTAAGGAACAGTTTGAACCAATTTGCTAGAAAACAGAATCCTGTCTTTTTCAGAGCATGGGCCACAAGAAGTGCTCTACTACAGCATTAGAAACAGATTCCGAATGGACTCTCAAGTTTTCCTTTTGTTGTAAGAAAGTCAGACCAACCAGATACAGAGGAGTTACTAGCAACTAGAGGTTAACTTGACCTTGTTTGCTGAAGTGATAGAGCCACAAGAGAGACTTCAGGGTGATTTTAGAATAACCTAAGAAGTTGTGAAACACAGAAAAGGATCTGCTTAGCTACTTAGGGGAGTAAGTCCTATATCACCCCTCCCCCTTTACCCAGGTGATTACTATGGGCTAAGTCAGGAAACAACAAATTCCAGGTGTGTATTTTGACATCACCTGCTTGTTGCAGCACACTTTTTATTACACTTTGGTCTGCTGTTATGAACATGAGGCACGAAATTCTATGCATCATTTGAATAAATGTTTCATAAAAAGTTTTAAACACACAATGATCAGAACAGAGCCAGTGACCTTGATTCACTAAGGACTTGGTACTGTACCTTGTTCTTTTGGTAGCTGAGCAGATTGTAAATTCACTGGTGTACGTTTATGAGAGTGCATAAGCATGAGAGGATGCATCCCATTTTTCCACAACAGCATTTATATTTTAAGTTTCAGCAGCATTTCTAAAAAGGTACCTTCGGATGATAACACATAGTTAATGCAGCTTTAGAAAATCAATCAGTTTTTACTTTGTTTAACCCCAAAACTTTGATCGATGTCAGAGTGCACTTAATTGACAATATAAAGGCTGCTCAAATCACAGTGGGATGAGGAAGAATTAGAAATGAGTTTGCCAGGAAATGTGATGAGGAAAAATTTAAGATGCTAGTCTACGTTTCAGTAGTTATTAAACTATAGAGATCTATTAAAAAACAATTCCTTTACAATTTGAGGTTGTCATCTGATTATTCATAGGGAGGTAAACAAATATAAGTCATGACATCTCAAACACACTTATGTTGAATACTTTATACAAAAGTATTTATCCTTCATATCTTGTAATACAGAACTGTTGTGTTTGTTTTTTTAAATTCAAGTGTATGGATGAAGGAATGCTATATGTATTCCTTAACAAGAGAAATTTATTTTTATGTAAGTTAACTTTTCCCTTTCATACCACCATTTTCCATAATATTTTTTCATATTGGTTAAAATCATGGCTACTATACAAGCATTGAAGAAGTATTACTTTTGTGAATTGTAGCCTTTTAGGCTTTATTATACTATTATCTTCAGATAATCAGATATTTTTCTACCTGTTCCAAATATTCAAACAATTTTGAATTGCCAGTTTAATGAGTCTCTCAAGCTATGATTTTTATTTTTGTTTTCCTTAATTAAATTGGAAAACCTGCATTCAATGGACAGTTTAAGTTATTCTTTATCAAAATAGGTAGGACTTTTGTAAAATAAGAATTTGCATAAGGGTTAAAAGATGCACTCTTACTAGGTTTGAAATCTGAGAAGAATTCTATAAATTGAAATTATAATATTTCAAAACTAAAAGATAATTTTAAAAATTTCATTATTGAACAGGAAAAAATTTTACCATGAATTTATTCTAAAAATCACTCCTAATTTTTATCACAAATGATATATTTGATTTCTCAATCCATAATGAGTGATGAAAAATAAAAAATCCAAAAATGCAAATTTTATTTTTAAAACGATTTCCCATCATTTATTCTTTAGAAATGAGCTAATAGATTTCTAAGGCAAACAGTCTCTCTATAACGTATAAAGGCAAAAATATTGGAAGCCTTGGAAATATCTAAAAGTTATAATAGTTTTGTTTAAAACTGATTATAATTCTGTTACCAAAAGAAAAATCAGGCTACTCATTATGTCTTTTCAGATGTAACACTTATCTTCAGGTGAGGGTCAAGTGAAGGATACATAACCAGCTCCTATTTCTAAATATTTATTTCTGATCTTTGACAGAAGCTCCATTTCAGTTTGATTCAAGCATCTTTTGAGTGCCTATCATGTGCCAGAATAATACAATTAGATTAGAGACTAAATGCTTAAAGGAAATCAGATTACTTTCTTAGGAAATCCTAGTAAAAGGAAAATGTAGGCAGTTCAACTCAAATTAACGTGTTGTCTAAAACATCTTCACAATGTGTCTGGATTTTGTTATTTATCTTTCTAAAGTTTTGTACAATATATCTTTATAAGTTTTTTAATAGTTTAGCTTGTCAAAAATTAGTCCTTTAAATAGAAACTATAGAACAGTGGTTCTCAACCTTCTGGCCCTTTAAATACAGTTCCTCATGTTGTAACCCCAACCATAAAATTATTTTTGTTGCTACTTCATAACTGTAATGTTGCTACTGTTATGAATCGTAATGTAAATATCTGATATGCAGGATGGTCTTAGGCGACCCCTGTGAAAGGATCGTTCGACCGCCAAAGGGGTCGTGACCCACACGTTGAGAACCGCTGCTATAGAATGACTCAACTAGGAGCTACAGTTTTGCAGATTGTTAGGAGCTTAGGTCTTTACTTCAGATACATCCTGATTTGAACCTGACTCCATCACTGTGGGGCCTTAGACAAATTATCTTTTATAAGTCTTGATTTCCTGATCTATAAAATGAATGGTGATAATGATTCATTTAAAATCACTATGAGGTTAAATGTAATGTGAGTATAAAATAATCAAACTTCCTGGGATAGAGGACGCAGTAGATACACGGTAACTATGATTATGAGGACAAAAATGATGACTGAGCACATTTATTTGATGAAGCCAGAATTTCTGATTTCATATGTTGTCTCTTAAATGTTGTCATTTGCCCTTGTTAACATCCTACCTGATAAATATCTTCTCACATTTCTAATTGTAACCAAGTTTAAAAGGCCCCAAATAGCATAAAATTTTCTGTCTACCCTGTTATGTGGCTTCAATATATTTCCCAATACAATTTCATGATTCACCCATAAAAAGTTGTGGGTCTTCAAAAAGCAACTTAGACTGAGATCCCATTTGATTGATATAATAATAAAAACACTTTGGATTTTATAGTACCTCTTATCAGAAAAAGCTCAATGCACTGTTACATATTTATCATTGAAACCCAGGAGATAAGGAAGGACATAAATGATTTCTCATTTTCAGGAGCATAACAGTGGCATTAGGAATTAAGGTAACATTTGTAAGATTAATAGGATTAGAGAACATGTTTCCTGAATATCAGTCTTCCTGCAATGTGTTACTCCCTTTGGCATTAATTATAGCCATTGTTACTTTTTAGTCAGTCTCAAAATTTTAGTGTTTGGCATTAAGTATAGGTTATAATTCAGTTAATTACTTGCTGAAATCAAGTTGAGTCAAATATATACCATCAGGGTCTAATCAAATTAAAACATCTTGACTTTATGCCAAAAGACAATTTATTATTCAATTTTATATATCTATGCATTCTTATTTACAACTGTGTGTTAACTCTAAGGCAAGATATTTTAAGTTACTCTTTCTTTATGGCCTTAAAAGAAATCCATTTCAATCTCCTTATCACTCACCTCTCCCCAGGCTCATGCCCTAACTCCACCTATATTGTTATAGGCTATTACATTTACTCCATTTACATAGGCTAACAGTGCTTTCTGCTCCAGTTTTCTATTTCTGTGGTGGTCTGTGCCTGAAAAATCTATCAAAATAAATATCCAGAGGAAAATAGAAGTAGACTGTATAAAAGGACACAGGAGAATATACTTTTTATAATAGTTTTTTGTTTGTTTTGAAACAAAATGGAGCCATAATGTCCACTTGACTTTGTAAAACACACACTATCAAAAGAATACTAATGGATTAACATAGCTGCAGCTACAGATGTGGACTGGAAAAAAAGAAAACTGATAAAAGAGTGAAGCTTGACTTTTGGATGTCTAAATTCATAGGTTACAATGGAAAAACAGGCTTAATGTTTTTTATTTTAAAATTCAGTAGGCATCTCTCTGTATCCTAAATGTACCTTGTAATTGACAAGCTTGACCTACCCAAAGTCAAGCCCAGTCATGTGACTGCCAGACTTGTATGGGGAAGTGTAAGTAGCACCAAGAAAAAACACACATACATCACCCAGAAGAGCCAGAGCTGTTCTTGATTGCCATTTCACCCAAGCCCTTTAACCCTTCATGTCGATGTGACTAAACAGAAAATCTCTTTTCTCTGAATGAGTATATTTATGTGCATTGTAAGGCTGAGAATAATGTCTAATAGAAATAATGTTCTGTTCCTTTGGCCACTGTTATTCTGGTATGAAATATTAGAGGATATGGTAGTTTGAAATGTCAGTTTTTGTAAACATGGGTTGGAAGATGTAATATAAATGAATGGTGTTACAGACTGTTTAAGCTGTTTGAGTAACAAATAGACATTTCCTTGAATTATTTTGACACAATTTACTGTGAAGTTCCTTTTTTTCCTCTTGCTGATATTTCTAGATTCTTTGTGCAGACAATAAAAAGAAAAGCCTTTCTTTTCTGTCAGTGCTCATTATTTAACTCATGGAGCACTGATGTTTTCTAGAATACTAAT